TCAGTAAGGGGCTGCTGGCTGATAAGTCTCCTACCCAGAGCCTATGTCTGGCACCCCAACCTCTCCCTTCCACGACTTTCTGCCCCACTACTCCAAATACCAAAATCCTCCGCCCCTCCTCCCCCGCACTCATACCCCCTCCCAGATCCGGCACCCCAGTCCCCTGCCCCAGATCACAGTCCCTTCTTGCCCTAGCTCACAACCCAACCCCCTGCACCTATCCAGTGCTCCAGGTCACAACCGCCTCCTTCACCCAAACTCCCTCCCTTATCTCAAGCTCCCTTCTGCACCCAGCCTCCATCCCAGACCCGCACCGCCTCCATTAATATCATGAAAGAGTGCAGCCCTTGACCGCCTCCCAAATTCTTAGCGTGCGCCTTCCCCCCCATGAAAAATTATTGCCCGCCCGTGTTAATGGGACAGTACATTGTCCTTTGGTAAAATTCCACTTTGTTCAGAGTTTACATTTCAGCTTCTAAGTTATCCTTCCTGCTAGTTCAGAAAACAAAAAACAATGAATGAAAGTTTTGTGCTCACAGCAACCTCAGTCCAAAGAGCAAAGAAGATCATCAAAAAGACAAACAAGGCCAATATCACACAGTAATGTACTAAACAACCATCCTGCTACAGCCGTAACACTAACTCCACGAGAACTCTGGTGCTAGAGCACCCCAATGGAAAAAATTAGCGAGTGCTCAGCACCCAACAGCAGCCAAGCTCCCTCCTTTGCCCTTCCTCCCCCCAGCACTCCTGCTTTACAGGCAGCCATGCTGGTCTTCTCCCTCCCTCCTAGTGCCTCCCATTGCTATGAAACAGCTGTTTCAGGGTGTTCAGAGGCTCCAGGAGAGAGGGGAAGGAGTGAGAAAACAGTATGCTAGGGAGAAGCTATGGAAAGAGATGGGGTGGTGTTGGAGCAGGGGTGAGAAAGAGGTGAGGTGGGGTTGGAGTGGGGGAGGCAGGTTGAGCCTCTCACCCCCCCAGCTAGAGCAGAAGTTGGCACCAGTGTTCTGGATAAACTGAGTGCTTGGGATTCAAACTCTGCCCAGCTGATTAGCGGAGCACCCACAGCCTTGGTGCACATGACAAAATTTATCATGCACATGGATGAAAAGAATTAAAAGTGAACACTGGTTTGGCCCCTATGATTACAGCCAACGGTGCAGAGAGCAGACACCACTTTAGAAGCCCTGAAACATCTGCTGAAAGAAAAGGAGAAAAAAAATTAAAGCCTTACCCGGGTATCTTCACTGATGTAGCCACATGTGACCTTCTCACTCTTAACCCACAGCTCTCCTGCTTGTGCCCTGTAAGCAAAACAGAAAGGAATTCAAGGAAAAAATTAAGCCTTTGTAAAGAATGCTGGTATGGAGACTAAAGAACTACACCCCATGTTCCAAAGAGATAGGACAAACATTGCATTCAACTGGGACGTAAATATCGTCCTTAAATATCTCTTGATAAACTCCATCAAAACAAAACATACTTTAAATTGCTACCCCATGTGACACCAGTGCCAAGTGACTTCCCACTACAGCTCCTACCACAATCACTCCCACCTGCCACCTCAACACCAATCCAAAAGAACCCCCCTTCTCCCTCTCCCAAATACCTTCTCACAATAGTATTCAAGTATCACCACATACCAAAGACAATCTGTGTGACATTCACCTAAACCAAATGAGTAGATTTATTCCATCACTAGCTTCCATCGCTTAGAAAAATCAGAACAAGTTTCCCAATGACATCAAGAAGACCATTCAAACATGGACCTTTAAGGTCTTCTGTATACTGCTCAGAATTTCTGATGCAGGTTTGTATTTATCAAGTGAAATTAATTCCTTTTAAATCCAGATCAGAAATGAGCATCCTGTAAACACCTATGATGTAACCAAAGCATTATGCCACTGAATAACAAAGCATTTGATACACTCTTGCATGACCCTTTTATGAATAAACTAGGGCCATGCTTTGGGAAAGCCTCTAATGGGCCCCTGCCACTTTCTCTACCTAAAAGCTCTGTTGCCACCGAGCCCCATGGCTCCCATTGGCTCCAGTTTGCCATTTCCAGCCAAAGGGAGCCTCAGGACACAGCCAGGCTCCAAACAGGGTCTGTGTTATTCAGAAAGTGAGACAAAACAATCACAATGGTCTCTTCTGACTATTTAATAGATCTGTGGATTATACAGATAAATTGGGGGAAAAGGGGATACTTACACATTTGAGATGGCAAGAGGGATGTATTAGACAATAAAATTTTTCAGAGATTTGAGTCCAGAAAAATATACCTTCCCTTTTTTCATTCTCACATCGAGCATGCTGAGCTCACTGGTCTAATGGCACAGGCAACTGGTACATTTTTTGTACCTGGGCAGGATGGAAGCTTTCTGCCTTGACATTTTCATTAATTAATGGCTAGACCACCATACCTTTAGCTCCACAAACCCCCAAAGCATTTCTCTTTTCAATTATTTGTGCAGTCAGATATTTCTACATATAAATACTTCTCTACATTGACTCATCAAAATAAAGCAGGGCAATTCACTCACCGGATACCTGCAAATTCCACCTTTTGGGTGACATAAGCACATGTGCTGACCTAAAAGAGAAGAGTTATAGATCATGGAAAAAGTAACCAGACTGATTCACAGGAAACAGTTGTAGAATACTAAGACCCAGATCCCTCTCTCCAAACCCCAACTCCAATATTAGAGGCCACTTAGCACATTTACAATTAATATCTCAAGCTATAGAATATCCCGTTAGGGCTTTTGTAAGTAAATGGACAACACAGCTGAATATAGCAGAGAGCCACCAGAGTAAGAGAAACAGCTATATTATCTAGTACACTGCTCATCTGATTGGACACTGGCTGCACTCCTGAAATGTGGAAATTCTCAGCTGTCGTTTAACAAGTGGCAATGTCATGAAACAATAAATTATAGCACATTTTTGCCGGAAGTTCACTTGAACCCAACCTTTCCCAAATATTCTTTGTTCTATCAAAAGAATTTAGAACATGATGAATATCTCTTAACCCTTTTGGCTTGTAGTGATCCATGGGAATGAACAATTTTTCCAGAAAAAGACATGGTGAAGCAATCTAATTTACTCACAGTTCCCAACCAAGACCCACTTACTAGTGCATGGTAAGCACTGATACAGGTTTCTCAGAAGCAATGCCTTTGTGCATTTCCTCAGTTGTACATCAGCTATGCATAATAGTCATATTCATCATGCCTTATGTTTCTTGGCAGCGAGACAAGGCAGTGTCCCTCCATTCCCCGCATTACAGCTATAGTTCTTACCAAGCTTTTTTTCAGTCGCCACATATCCCCACGCCCAATGTACTGATCCTTAAAGGTCAGCTCAACCAGGTCAAGAGTCACATCCTTTAAAAAAAAAAAAAAAAAAAAAAAAAAAAAAAAAAACACACATAATTGGGTTGCCAATATAACACCTCATGAAACATGAAAGGCCCTTTTAAAGGAAGTAAATGCTCTTTAGAGGGAAGGCCTAACAGTACAACTACTGAAAAAGTTCATATGGCTGGAATGCAGAGATAATTGTGAGTGGCAGGCTGCCATATTCTGGGAATTAGTGAAGTCAGCAAACTTCAAAGTAAAGGTCTAAGCACACTCCCTAGCCTCCCAGCACTGAGCTGAAGCACAAAAGAAATTTTTTTTTTTTTTGTAAAAAAACTACCATAAAAAGCCTTTATTCTAACTCTAAGGCAAATAAGAAATCTAATGGATTCCCATTTGTGCTAAGTTAGGGTAGTCAATAGGCAAACCATAGGCTTTTGACAAACCCCAAAAATCTCTCTCTACTTATTATCATTGTTATGTTTTTTATTTTCTTCTCTGAAGTTTGGATCTTGACAAAAATAACTGACTACCTCCTTGCTAAGTACTGAGGCAGAGGGAATTATTATTCATGGTTATAATGTTACATACCTTTGGGTCGACAACATTCACATGAACATCTTGGTATGGCCTCAATCGGAATACCTGAGCTACAGTCTGGTCCACACTTATAGTTTCTGTTATTGGGATGAGGAAAAATGGAGAATACTTATTTCCATTTAATCAATCCCATGCAATAGCCTCAATGAAAGAATGGGTCCTGCTTATGGTCATACAAAGCAAGCTGTTACTTTGACATGTTTTAGATATAGGTATCCCCATTCTACTTGAACAGTGTGAATGGAAACTGCCATTGTTCTGAGTCTTCCAAACAGTTTGCTGCAGATAGCAACTGATCCAGAAGAAAAGCAAAGATTTGACAAGTTACAATAGGGAGAGTCGTTAAAAAAACCCTCAAACCTAGACATTGTGGGTAATTTCACTATGATTTCCTCTGTTAAGCCTTATAGTCACATTACAAGAGTCTGGAGTCCTACCTTTTTGCAAATCTTCCTTAAGTGACTTCACTTGAAGGAGCAGAGGGCTGGAACACAAGAGAGACAAGGCGAACAATGACATGAAGAAACCAGTTAACTATCCTGCTGTCACCATGGAGAATTTGAATTCACCCATCACAGTAAAGGCAGCTAGTTGTACTGCACTGGAGATAAACTAGAACATTAACAATATTCACTTAACAGAAAAGGTACTCAGAACCTGACAATATCCAAAAGAACCAATTAAAACATCACTTATGCTTGGTCTGATAAAGAACAGTAATAACCAAATAGAGCTAATGCTAATATTAAGGATGTAAAATCCTGTTAAATTAGTTAACTGGTTAAACATGAAGCTTACTTCACATTTAACCAGTTAACCAATTAAGGGAGGCCGCTCCATCCCTCTCTCTCTGTGGCTGGGCAC